TTTCTCCTTGATTTAAAAAAAAATGCTTTTAATTCTAGTCTATTTTAACTCAATGACTTGCATATTTCTATTTTGGTTTTTGCAGTCTTGGCAGTCTTTTGCATATCACAATTACTGTTATGCATTTCAGAGTATTTCAATTATTTCAGTCTTTCATTGACATAGTAGTGCATCAAATTATTATACATTTAAAAATTGTTACCTTGATATTTCTGATAAAAGAATATGTCAATAATTGTATTGTTATTGTTCTTCTCCTTTTTCTTCTTACTATTAGCATATAAACAAAATTATTACGCAGTTCATGTATTTTTTATTGATTCTATTTTTGCAGTTTCACTATGTTAAAAATATTAAATCCAGGTCTATTCCAATTATTTTGTAGTCTGAAAGACTAAAGAACTCCATAGCGGGAAATTGATTTTGTTTATTATTTCACTGTTTGGAAATGAAGATAAAATAAAATCCTTTAAATAATGCTTTTTATCAAAATAAGGACACAGACAATTCATCCGAAATCCCACATTTTGGTTGAACATAGACACTCCACAGGCGCCAGGATTCAAAGGCAACAAACCACAATGCCAGATACTACAGTTCCCAAAAGTGCTTCCATTCACTTTTGGGTTTGAATTATTTTAAGTGTAGATTGAAGGTGAACTTGTCTCATTAGTAACAGTTAATTATCAAGGGTTGTATTTTATAGAGCAGTGCTACACTTACTGTCATTGGCAGTCATTTTCATATTAGTTGATTCATTTAAAAAATATATATTTATATAATAATACTGGCAGTTCAGCACAGCACTTAATGTAGCAATTCTTTGAATAATTAATTTAATTAATCTTAGTCTTTTCCCTTATACTTTAAATAATTTCTGAAGTTAATTTTGAACTATCTTAGTTTTTTCTTTTTTTTTTTTTTTAAGTTTATTGACTGTCCATTTTTGCGGGTTCCTAAATTGTTCCTTACAGGAATAGAGAAACTTTTATCCATTATATCCTTCCTGAGGTTTGTCTTTAGTCACAATATCTTTAGCTTTCCAGCTTTGAAGAATAAAATCAGACTCTAATCCCTGCGGAACTATATCAAAATATCTCATACAGAATTAAAATAATATCCCCCAAAAATATGTGGAGCGTTGCGCATAGCTAAAAAACCTGACCGTGACTGGCGCCCCATTGCCATCGGCCCTGTTGCCGTGTGCCCAAATGTTTGAATTTATTTTGAGGCATGATAAGAAAAAGTTTTCCAGATGAATTCCCTCCATATTTTAGAGCTGGCTGTGGTCTGCTGTGTCCTGCATGTGGAATGCCAATGATTTCTGAGCAAGGGTGGAAGTGGAAACAAAGGTAGATTGTGACCTAAGAAAAACATTTATATAACCTTTGCATTAAAAATCTAAAATAAAACTGTTTTTAACACACAGCTGTGAAAGACATAAGAAAATCAAAATCAGCATTAGGTGGAATAGCCCTGATTTGTAATCACCCTTTCATGTGTCTCAGAACGCTCTCTTCCAGGCTTCCTCAAATACTTTTGGGTTCAGATAATCACGACTCAGTTCCTCGTTAGGCAGAATAATGTGTGTTTGCATTGAAATTCAAGAGAAGCTGACATGAATGCGGAGATGATGTTTTAAGGAAGAAATAGTTTCCAAAACTTTACATTTAATTTCCTGTAGCAGCCGACGTCATATTGTGTAAATATTTGTATGTGTCCTTCACATTGTTTTTTCAGTGTTTTACACAGTGCACAATGCAATTAAATTTACTGGTCTATCTTTTTAAATATGTTAATTCAGAGTGGTATTCCTGGAAGTGAAAGTTCAATATTTGAAAGTATAATTTTACTATTTGGAAAATGAGAACATTTGAGTGAAAGTCATTTCTACAATGCTCTATAGAATTCAATTCAACATGGTTTATTTATGAGGCCCCAATTCACAGCAAATGTCATTTCAAAGGACTTTACAAGATAAACAGTTTGAATTCACATACAATTATATGGAAGGATAGAACGATTTCTGTTTACTGCAATTATTGCACAACCACATAAATTAAAAAACGGAATTTACTGTGAATAAGTATAGCACTGTCCTACTGTCACCATAACATCTTTTAAAGTCTTAACATTATCCCCTACTGTTTGCATGGTTTTAGATTAGCATCTTCCCATGGTTTAAACTGAGTCAATTTAATTTCACTTCAATGTTTCAGTCTTTTGCCTGTTTACATACAAGCTTTGAGATTGACTGGAAAACTCGTATTCCTTAATGCAGCAGTCACGCTCTTTGATCATTCAAAGTGAAATATTGACACAATAATATTGCAATTATGGATTCGATCTCAGCACACAATGATCCAAATACTCAGCACCACATGTGCCTGTGCAATGCCGCACAGTTTTCTTTATGTGGGAGATTCAGAGACATTTTGAAACACTTTGATCAGGAGAAAAACTATATCAGAGCTATTCACAAGCTCAGCTGAGGGCCACCTGGGTCCTGGACTGCATGCTATACGGAAAGCCCATTTTCCACAGCAGTAGGAATTGCTATTTCCTCTTTCACTTCCAACCTCAAACAGCGGAAGTAGCTGCATGTAATGCGAAGTCCATAGGGCGCAGAGATAAATAAAAAGAATAACATCAAAAATTACACCCAGCAAGTAAATACTTGACTCTGCAGGAAGATTAAATGGAAAGCCTTTATCTTCCTCTTTATCCATAACGTCATTAATCATTGAGACGATGTTATTAAGCCACATTAGTGCTCACATTAGTTACTAGATGCAATAATGAAAACACAACAGGCTCATAAAACTAAGCACTACACCGCATACATTAACAGCTGCCAAGGTCACATTAGCATGTCTCATTAGTCAATACCTTAGACTCGTGTTAGCTGTTTCAGGGAATACATCACTTTATCTTCACAGATACTTTTCATCCCTCAGGAAGATTATGTTCAGATTCAAGGAAGATCAATGAAACAAATCTGTCCCGATTGTTTGATTAAAGAAATGATGCTGATCACCTGGTCCGCCTCCTGGTATGATTGATCATTCCCCGCACAGAGAAGGCGGCCAGGAGACTTCTGCATGATGACAGCATGACCAGACAAAGGAGAGAAGTTAACACCAATCCTCTGAGCTAAAAAAACATCCCGGAAAACTGCTTGCATCCAAATTCCACTGTGACCAGCAAGCGTAGGAACAGGGGCAAATGCCGTATGAATTGATTTTATGATAAATAAAAACATCTGTTTGTGACTCATGCATGAACATTGTGAGTGTTGGTGAAGAAAGTGGACATTGTTTTCATGCAGCTGTTCATTTTAAGAAAAAGGACTGTTTTTTTTTTTTTTTTTTTAAGAAAATAGCTTCCTTCATAAAAACTTTGACTATAGATCATGTAATGATCTGAAAACTTCCCAAATTATGGAGCCAGAAATGGGTATAACAGCTGCTATTAATTAAGTTTATCATTCTATTACTGAAAGGTAGCCAAGCCAGTTTATGGCGTTTTCTGAATAATTGCATTTTATGCTGAGAAAAACAGATTATTTTTTTTTTATTACTATGCTGTTGAAATTTGGTAAAATGGACTGACTTTGATTATCCTCTATGCAAACAACTGATTTATAGTATTTAGCATTTTGCTGTGGATGATGCCCATAGCGTTGCAGCGACAATGTTGGTTTTCCATCTCGAGGTTCATCCTTCATCTATTCTTTTTCAACACAAACCTGTTATCAGCATGACTGTTTAAGACATTTTTAAATGATTTTTAAAAGTAATATGTTGATCATGCGTGAATGTTCCTTAAGCTGACATTTTAAGGTTGAATAAGAACCATCCTAGGCATGAGAGAAAAAAAAGTCATAAAATACATATTTTAAAGGTCAATTTCTAAATTATAATGAAACATATATTAATGAGGTTCTATTATACTGAGATAATGCAATATTTTACTGATAATCTTGTGGTAAAAGGAAAAATAATTAAAATGACAAAATAAACATTTTAAGGTGTGTCATCTGCTGGTTTCCATACTTAAACCGTTGATTACATTTTTATTTTCCTTTGCTAAAGACCATTTTAAATGTGATCATAAAAAAAACCCATATACTTGCTGAACCTAAAATAAATCACTAATAACACCCCAATTTCTACGAGAACTGCTCATTTAAATTTACAATGAACTGAAAGCAGAGACACCTTTTTCATGCTCCAGCTAACAGCATGTCTTATTAATGCCTGCCCTGCTGTTGAAAGTGAGCAGTTCCCCTTAGGGTAAAGATGTGAGTGCCTGGTCCAAGTGATATTGCACTCTGGAATTAAAAGCAGAGTAAAAGGTGCTTTTCTTGCATGACATATTACAGCACAGTTAGTCCTGTAACGCTTATAATGTCTGTAAAAACCCTCCACTGTGGATTTGTCTGAAAGAGAATACTGGCTTCACAAATGATTAACAAGAAATCCAGAACTCATTTTTTCATTCAAGGCAAAATACATCTGTCTTTTATTTAGTTAGTTTTTTAAGCCAGAACACAGAATTTTATGGCACTGAGAAAAGAAGTCGATCACAAGTAAGGGAAGACACTATTTTAGTCAACGTTAACTCAGATTAGCTTCTTAAACATTATAAAGTACACTTGAAAGAGACTGAGATGTAATTACTCGTTACTTCTGCATGCATTGCCAAGCTGCTGATCATTCAGAAATGTTTCTACGGAAAATGAAGTGCAAGGGACAGTGTTTTCTTTGTTTTTTGTTTCAGAAAACTGCTGATAAACTTTGATTTATGTGACAGTGCATACCACTAAAATCATGCTTTTGCTTCTTGGTTGATGCCAATTTTCATAATTTACTATCATATTGTGCAACGGGAATAATATAGTACTTCAAGAGGTGAAGAGAGATCTGCAGGAAAAAAAAGAGTCTGGAATGCTTGCATTTTAAATTCCCAAGCATTCTAATAATAATTCTATTTCTTACCTTTAGTTTGTCATATCGGTCGCTGAGGGCCGCCACTTGGTGGTCACGATGTCGACCGACAAGCTTGCACAAGGCACAGATCAACTGTTCGTCTGTTACACAGTACATGTTGACTTTCTCGTCTTCATGCTCCAGACACATCAGCCCCCGAAGATGGGAGTCCTGCAAGGGTTCAATCAGCCGGTGGCCCGTGAAGGGTTTCTTGTTTGGGTGGGTGGCCTTCAGGCATTCCTCGCAGTATGATACCTCACAGGTAACGCAGGTCTTCACTGCATCTTGAGGGGGGTCCTGCTCGCAGAACTGACACTGCACTCGGTCCGTAGGAGATGTCATGGCTTTGCCTTGTGGGATTACTCGCTCACGACGAGTCTCGCTAGGGGAGTTGGGTCCACTTAGAGAGGCTTTCTGGTAGCGGTCGATGATGTTCTGTAGGGTCACGTTGCGTTTGAGTCCCTCTAGGCCTCTCTGGTTGAGAGTAATGACATAGCGACAAGTTGGACACTGGAAGGCGCTGATAGACTGGATAGGCTCGCTGGGGGTGCAATGGGAGACCAAAATACGATGGGCACAGTTGAAACAAAGACTGTGAGCACAGGGCAGCAGCAGTGGGTCCTCAAAAAGCTCCAGACAGATTGGGCAGGTCAGCTCAGACTCTAGTGTTTCCATTTTCAGGCACAACAAAGAGGGATTGTCAGCGAAATCCAGGGAAGCCGATCAGCTATCTGTGAATGACACAAAGGAAAAAAGCTTGATTATAGAAAGTTGGGGGGAAAAACAGAGTGAAAAACTAATTAAATAGATGTTAGAATGATTCAATCCAACTGTCCATATTTAGAAATAAGTAGAGAGGTATAGAGACCAGATATGGTAAACATTCAAAATCAGAGAACTTAATCATACAAGCTTCAAGATTTCACAAGCATTAACACTCTTATGTGGAAGTCGGTTAAGGAAGATGATTCAAATATGGGTTATTTTCAGAATCTGTAAGATGCTGAAAAAATGTCAATGGAAGCATATGGTTTTAAAAGGCAAATTAAAAAGAAAACTATTTTCTAAAGCATGTCAAGACATGTCTGCAGTTCATTCAGGCTACAAGAGAATGTAGCAAATAGCAGAAAGTTTGAACAGATACAGTTTTTAACCGCAGCCTACTGTGGAAAATGATTGATATCGTAATGTTGGCAGTCTTTTGGAAAGTGTTACAGAAGGGCTGTGTATTTTCTCAAGAGAAAATACACAGCGGTTGCTGTTTCAGGAGCAATGTTAGCCAAAGGCAATTTAAAACGTCTTTAAAATGTCTCCCTACCTTTTTATCTGTCATAAATAATAAGTAAAATAGTAGTTTATGGTGACTGAATCTCCTACATAAACACCATACAGTTGTTTCTACTGTTCATATACTTAATTAATAACTGTTTACAAAAGAAGTGGTAGAAAAAAAGTTAATGATCTGTGAATTATTAGAGCCATGACATCGTAAGTCCTCTGAAAAAGGACTTGAAAATTTGTTAAAATTAGTATCAGCAAGTATTCTGAATGGTGCCTCTCTGGACAAAATATAAATAAAGCCTGAATTAAACAAGACTTTTGCACAACTATGTGTTAGTTTGGATAATCAGAATGTATTAATTCAGTCCCATCTTGAGTTTTATTGGCTTTCCTTTGCAAGATGAACACCAGAATATGTATTGTGTAAATATTTGTGGGACAGTCAGGTTAAGCAGGTGCTTGCTACTAATAAATAAGCCTTTGCGTATTTGGTGCAGATCTGATTTGCTGAACTTGAAGAATGCGGCTGCAGCTCATTTTAATTTGGCTCAAGGGGAGCCTGCATGAGTTCCCCTCTGCACGGTCGTCCACTGGGGAACAGAGCAGCGAGGACTGACAGCTCAGCCAAGCAGAAGTCTATTGGCCTGCTTGCTGAAGGCTGGGGCTCCACACCGTCACAGACACTGAGCCTTTGTTCCCTGGTCACTCAGACACCCCCAGCTGCAAGCGGACACACTGGACTTCACAGCGACTCCCTGTGTGAACTTTACCTCCACTCATTAAGTGTGAAGAGGGCAAAAGCACATTATTAAGGACAGTTGGCCATAAGAAGCCCCTTGAAAATCATGCAGGACGCCACAAATATCTCAGAGCAATTTTGTGTTTTCCGTTGTTCTCGGATCTCCAGACCTTTGCTTATCTTACTGTGGCTACAGCACAAAAAACAAGAGGCATGTTGAGCATGTCTCTTGTGACTGGGAAGCATCTGCTGGCCTTTGTTAGTTTGTTCCTTTATTCTTTACACACAAACCTGCCAATGCAACTGCCAAAAAAAAATATATTTTCTGGATTAAACATGATCTCCTCCCCACCGTTGCTGAAAAAAAAAATCTTAAACAGAAAAATTTCCATAACAAATTTTGCTAAGTGTACTTTATGACATTGTTTCAGGAGATATTCTTTATGTCTCAGACTTTCTAATTTAATTTCAGTGGAAATCCTTGTTGTTCTGTTATCACTTTTTAAATATTTGTGACCATTTTATTTATCAAAGGTAACATTTTTGAGTAATAAAACTACAAAGCAATAAAAAAAATCAAAAAACAGAAAAGACATTAAAACATCACAGACTACAGTAGGTTCTGTAGGTCTTGTCAAACAGGTTTGCCCATTGGAGCATGCAGTCTGTGATAAAAACAGGACAAATAAAGAGCAGTTTTAAATAAGCACAGCATGAAGAGGTGACTATTCTGATGTCATCACCACCCTGGACTTATACAAAAGCTTGTAAAATAAAACTGTGGCAAAGAGCCACTCCAAACAGCCCCAAGTATTTTCTGCATTCCTAAAAGTGCTCCCATTCATACAAAGTTTACTTTACCCACCGATGGATTTCGCCCCACTTTGCACTGCCGAGACATTTTTGCTTCAGGGAAACCTCTGACCTGAATCATGAAAATCTGTTTCTAACAAATGCAATAAACATGGACTCCGGCGTGCAGCACGCATCCAGATGGCACAAGTAATCCTGCTGCAGAGTTGTCATTAGGCGAAAGATTGAGCAAGAGGTAGCAAGCACAACAGGAAAAGTTGCCCGACAATTCCAGGAAAGCCAGCTCCACCTACAGCAGGAGCTCCGGCCAGAGCTTGGGAGAAGAGGAGGAGAGCAGACAGCAGTGAGTGGGGAGAGAGGGAGTAAAATGTTGAAAACAAACGGAGGGGACGGGATTGTTGCGGAAACCTCGTCCTCACAGGCAGGTCAGTGTCCTCGCAGCCCTGCCCATTCAGAAATTCAAAGCATCAGGATCAGTTTCAGCTTTCTTTATGCAACTCTTCCCACTGTTTCACACAGCACAATGCTGTGAACTCAAACTTTTCCTGGCACTTCCATCGGGGACTCAAGGGTAAAAGTTGACAACACAAGCTGAGATGAGAGTCCACAGCAGGATCATGACTCTTTTTGCAGCCAGAGAACAAGTGATGAGGACCAAATAATAAGTCCTGTTAGAGGCAGATCCTCTCCGGAGTAATTCGAACTCCAACATTATCATACAGCTTGCAAAATATCAGCTCCGTCTCAAAGGAGAATGTTCAATAAGACTGGAAAATGAAGCCAGACATGACTTAACATCATCGGCAACATCCACATCTGTCATAGCTGGCCCTGATGTGGCGAGTCACTGAGCAGCCATCTGCTTACCATGTGCGACTATTTCTGAACACACCCCTGCTGGGTTTCGTTTTGATCCTCCTGTCACTCAAAGGGGTCCCCCAGGAGGCTCGCCGCTCTCAGAGACAGACAAGAAGCTGTAAATATTAAAAAGCTCACGCTCAAGTCCAGACAAACCTGTAGGTGCTAATTTCCAGGGAGAGAGAGATGTGAAGGGAACGTGACTGGGATTCCCTGGGTGCTTGCTGTGCAGCCTCCAGCGGGAAATAAATCCACTCGCCCTGGAGCAGAAAAGGGAACTTACCCATTTGTTTGGTAAAATGACGAAAGACAACGTGAACTGAATAACCTTTGCTCACATTCTAACTTTAAAGCTCATACTAATCAGTTTTACATTAAAAATGTGAATCTGATTGACATACCAATACATATTCATTTCATATGAAACTATCTGTGTGCAATTTAATCTCAAATAAACCCAGCTGTTCTGTGAATCAGTTATGAGTTTGTTAAAGCTCATTAATGTACAAAAGCATCATGAAGACAAAGGAACATGTCTGACAGCTCAGGGGTAATGTCAGGGTGCAGTTTAAAACAATGTCACAAGCTTTGATTACATAGACAGATCATGGCACCACTGCATACCTGCCAGTGGCATAAAGAAAGGCATTATTGAGAAAGGTCCTTCAGTCCAGTTTGCAGTTTGCAGGACACACACATAAGGGACACAGTAAACATGTTGGAAAACGTGTTTCATTCACACATGCCTTAATTGTCTCTCCTAAAACACTTACATGGAAGCCAAAGGTCACTAGGATACTCATGTTCACTTGACAGTTAAGGGGTTTTAAGAACTACTGTTTCCCAGCATGAACTCCTTTTATTTTAACTTTAAATTAGGTTAGAAAAAAAAAGCTTCAGCTCTTTTCTGTTTTTTTTTTCTTCGTGCTTTAAACATTTTTTGACATGATCTCAACCAAAAATGTTCTCAAACTGTTTTAATTCTGTTTTTGTTTTACAACTGAATTGTGTGTTTACTGGATAACACCCTGCATCTACCTGAACGTACTCCACTGTAAAACATGGTGTTGGCAACATCTGGGTGTGGGACCTTTTTTCAAAAGCTGGTCATAGTTGATGGAAGGTTGTACCGCTGATGAGTGCCATGATCATGCCGATGATTCAATGCCTGTAGGGTCATTGTCCAAAATGTTGATATAGAGCTTCTTATTTTAATGTGAAAAAGTTAACTGGGGGAAAAAAAAGAAATAGACTTTTTTTCAGGAAGTGTTAAGTAAAGCTTGGCTTAAAACACTGGAATTCAGCTCCAAACGATGAACCAAGGTACTGAAATGTCATGTGGAGCTACATTTTGATTAGGAAGTAATGGCTCCTTTATAGATGAAACAATTAAAATGTCTTTGATATGAGGGCAATTTCCCGCTCAAACGCTCTCTAATCCTTTTGGTTATGGTCTTTTATCACCCTTAATGATAGTCCTGATCCATGTAGGCTATTCAGCCTCTGAAAGATTGTTATTGCTCTCTGTCTTCTTCCCCGGGCTGACACCTAACATATTTATCTGTAATCCTGTCCTGGTAGCGTGGCTGTGACCAATGGAGGGGGGCCAGGGCTTGGAGGAGCAGCAGAAGCAGCAGGCTGTGCTCAGTGCAGCGAGGTCCTTCTCCTCAGTTCTGCTCAGCTCAGCAGCGGCCCACTCAGGCCTAATATGATTTACAGCTGCGGTGGCAGCGGCCAGCTGATTAGACTGACTAATCTACCTGGTCTGCAGCTGCACACATTACCCAGATCATCGTTAATGGAGCCTGTACGGCCGAGACACAGGCTGTAGTTTAAATGATTAAAGAGCGCAACCTAATTACTAACTCTAGCATCCCTGCGACTGGAGTTTAACCTCATCTGTACATGTTGGCACGGAGAAGAACAGCGGCGTTCCGGGCTAATAATAAGCTTCAGGTGAACACCGCGGCTCCAAATGCATCGTTTCTGGTATTTCGGAAGTCTGGTTGTGCGAACAAGTTTCATTTGGTTTCCTGTCTTCCAGTCCGAGGAACGCAGGTCATGCTGGTCGGCAGCAACTTCTCATTTCCTCTGCGAGGCTTGGCAGGTGCCATCAGCGGGAAAACACCCTAGCCTTTCCACGACCACAGGAACTTCAAGGAATGTGACTTTCCAGGCAATGCAGCTGCCACCCGCTTCCTCCAAGTCCATACGCGGTTAAAGCTGCCCTGATACTCGTTGAGTTCAAATGTCAACGTGCTCAATTAGTTTTGCTAAGTTTGGAGAAGTCGTTTGTGAGTGACGATTTCCGAGTGGAGAAAACACGCGAATGGCGACATCTTGTGGTGGTGTTGCATAACCGCATGCAAGAAAGTCTTCACACCGTCACACTTTTAGCAATACGTTGACAAACATTGGATCAGAATGTGAGGAAAATATGCCCGCTTTAACGACGGTCACTTTCAAATAACTACTTCTGGTAAAATCTGAAAACGTATCTCAAAAGTAAGAGTATCTCAACAATCTCTTCGGAAGCTTTAGTTCTTCTTGCTCTAACCTAACTTTGTCTTTTGGACATTTAACACAGCCGTTAGAACTCTAAGATTAAACTTTGTAGAAGATAATGCTTGTTAAAAAAGGGGGGGGGGGAACTACTTTTGTTTGTACCAATTTTAGAAACTTTTCGCCTTTTTGAGATCATCCCATTTTCACAGTAAATACAGTTTTGCTTCTTTGGAGTGATCCAGATTAGGATCTCAGAGACTGAAGGTTAAAGTCTGGGGGTAATGGCTAGTCCAACAAGGGCAAAGACCAAAATAGATTTTTTTTGCCTCCAATGTTAAGAAGTGTCGTTTTTTTCCAGATGCTGTTTTGTCAAGAGTTGAATATTCATCTAAGTTGCACTTTGTTGGAATACATCTACCTAGAAAGTAATTAGCTGCAAAGGAAACTGAGGAGACAGTGTGATGTCACTACTCGCTGTTTTAAACAAACTGGGAACTTTGAAGAAAACAATGTTCCTAATTTAAGATAGCCAAAAAAGTCTGATATAATGGCATTTACATAAACTACTAATATATTGGAATTTCTTTGCACTGAATTTTCTATCAGATACTTGCAGTGTAAACAAAGGCATTACCTGTTCTGTTCTCTGCAAATGATTTACACAGGAAAGTCATAGGTGCTGCATCACCCACTTTATCTCCAGTCACATGAATAACTTTCTAATTCAAACATGACAATACGTCTTAAAGTTTTTTTTTAAATAGCTTTTGGGCTTAAAGCTAAGGTGGTGTTTTTGACACTGGAGTTGTTTTGATTCTACTATAGTCTTAGCCCCTCCTAGACTAACGTTTAGCCTCCAGAACCAACTCGTCTGGATTTGTATTAAGAAAGAAGGTTATCTGTTATGCTATAGGTGAGATATCGACTGCTTATAAAGCCTAAACCGACTATTAAAACAATTCTTAGCAATCCCTTCGAGCAATTCATTGGTTCAATAAACGCTATAAAGATCTCCACATGTGCTGGCATGGTGACAGCTTGTTGTCTATTAGTCACAGTAGTGATCGGAAGCAGTGTGCTCATTTGGAAAGGTGCTCTGCATTTCTTTTTAAAACAACCGTTTATTAATTAATAGGAGCCACAAGAAAGTGTGTTTTCGTCCTCCACGATAAAGTGGACTGACATGTGATAATGATTAAAAAAAAAAAAGGATCTGTTGTCAAAATTGCAATAGTAAAAGGCGAGAAATACCATCCTTTTGAAGGTGCACACTCAAAAATAATGCACCAAACTAAAGTAAATGTGCCATAGAATATTTCATCCAATTTCCAGAAAATCTGCAGTCGAAAATGTGTTTGAAAATGTCTCAAAGCTGTTGCAAATGACTGTTTTTACACAGGAAGTCTGCTGTAGCCTCAACCCACTCATTTTTGTGCTGTTTAATTCCAGAAATTCCCTTCAGACCTTGCTTAGTCATCATACCTCTCATGCAATCTCGTTCAAAACATTTGGAAAAATAACATAGCCCGGCAACTTTTGCACCTCAAAAGATCCCTGCCTGGAGCTTTGGAAACACATTATGACTCATGTTCTAGCAGGAAAACAACTCCACAAAGCCACAGTAACATTACACACTGGCTGTGTTCTGAGTGACCTCCTGACTTACCTGCCTCATGGTTCCAGCCGTAAAGAAGCACGGGAAAGTACAGAGCCCCCTCCACAGACATTCACTGCTGATATTTCGTCTCTGCGAAGCTGATCCACTGTGGCGGTCTGAACTTAAAGCGTAGTGACTCGCCTCTCAGAGTCTCTGTGAGTTTCTGAGCTCTTAACCCTCGCCTCTGAGCCCGC